TTCATGTTTGAAGATTTAGTGAGCTGCACTTGTGACACATGACATTAGAATCGGAATGAATCGAACACCGCCGGAGCTGGGCTCCAGGGAGGGCGGTGGGTAGAGCTTTAAAACAAAGCTTGTTCGTAGCGTATTTGCCCGTCACTCACCCTGACGCATTACAGCCCACCCACGGGCAACAGCTCACATCGTGCCACCGTCGGCGCGTCCTTCGATACATTCCATGTCTTCCAACCGAACCATCTCGGTGTGGAACACGTACATCACTTGTCAACCAAGTAAGACGCCTAACCCAGCCGTTGGTGTCGGCGGGTCCAGACTTTCGGATTCACCCCTGTGCATGAAAAAGGAGCGCATTGCGGTCGGTCGTGTTTCGTGCACACTTGCTTGGTATGCTAGCACTTGTCAGTGAACAATGTGGCAGCGAGGTTCAAGGTGAACGGTTTCCATTGGAAATAACCCAAGTCGGTAACACCTTCGCACCTTCGCAGCTGCTCACTCTGAGGCTTTTTGCCAAAAACAATGCCCCACGTAGACTTCATTTTGGCTTCACCTGTTGTTTCACCCTTGCATGACTTACCTGAGTCTCCCTGCCGGCCTTGCTGTTTGTTGTTTGGGTTTTGTTTGGTTGTTTGGTGGGGGCTTTGGTGGTTTTTGGTTGTTGCCCTACCCTGGCCGGAGACTCATTCACAAGTAGCACAAGCTGACCTGTGCATTCTTTGCACACATGGCGGCTCCACCCGTGCAAACCAAATTTGACAACGGTGACCATGGGGTCAGTGAAGAAGGTAAATACATCATGGCAGAGTTTTGTGTTCTTTTTCCAGGTGTTTGCCAGGGAGCTGCGGTGACATGACCACCACATCGCAGATCGAAATCGCCTACCGAAGTTCCATGCCTTACGATCGGGGGGCGGGTGGAGCCAAGACAAGGAGTGGCACTGATGCTAAAGAGGCCCTGAGACATGTCATGTAAGGGTGTCCATCAACTCTTTGGCCAAAAGCTCATGCTGAGCTGGACAAGACCTGGCAGCTGGTTCCTCACACCCTGAATCCTCCTCCTAGCGGAGGGATGAAGTAGCTGAATGTCTTGTACACTGCACATGATGCTTCAAAGCAGTGAGTTGACGCGTGTCTGGCATTTAGAAGAGTTTGCAATGAATTTTAGCAGAAACTGGTTTGTTTCGGATGTTTTGCACCCGTTGAGCGCGCAAGGCGTTTCCTTTTTGACCAGACCTGCCAGACCTGTTTGAAGGAGCTGAACCTGCTGTTGTGAGCCAAAGGCGTAAAGAAAGAGAAAGAGGTCACGATGGTCACTAGGAGCAAGCTGAACCCAACCTCCTGACTTTGGTCAGCTTGCATAAAAAAAAAAACAACCCGGCGGGCCGTAAACTACCGGCCTCTTCGTTGAAAACAGCCCGTTGGATCCCACCTCGGCCATACTCATTCAGGTGACTTTGTACCTGCGTACTGTGGTACTGTGGTCGCGAAGGGTAGACTGAGCAAGCATGAGTGTAGACTGAGCAATTACTAGCTACTTGGCTTCTCAGCAGATTTAGATGCAACCTGCAGACATTGACTAGCATTGATTGACACAGCGTTGAGGCTTCTTCGCCGCCATCATTCCCTCACAGAAATACATTTCGCCATCAACCACCATTCCGAGCGCATTTTTGGTTCACATCTGAAGGACCATTCTGGAAGGATACAACCTGCACAAAAGCCACTGGGAAGGAATCCCCTCTCCCCTACAATCCCGGAGTCCATGCCACAGTCACTAGTGCTCGGTCTCCGATCTTCAAAGCGCAGGTTGGTTGGGACAAGGCAGACAAGAACAGCAAAACGGGCCTGCCAGTTGGGGCCCATTTTGCCGCCCAGGTGCCATTTGGGGCCCAAATTTAAACCTTTGTGCCACGAGGTAGCAAAGGCATCAGGTTTTGTATTTTTTGCGAGGAGAAAGGCTTCAGTGAAAGGTGATGCATAGCCCCGCAAGATGATAGGCGTCCAGTTGGTTGGACCTGATCTCAAAGGCCAACTAGACACTGAACTGGTTTTTGGGAGACAGCTGGATGTCTCAGTTACTGGAGGTACTCGTGTGTGACGATAGATGGATCTTTGCTCCACTTGAAATGCAACAGTTTTGTACAGATCCGTGGATTAGAAAAATTCCCCTAACCGTCGAACAATGCGCTGAGGGTGGAGCGAGTACGGCCACTCTAAAGCCCCCACGGGTCTAAGGAATCACTTGTAGATATTTCGCAGACCCACAGATGAGCAGTGTTCTTTTTTGAAATCGCCTTCGCTGAGGCTACGCGAGGCCGTTTGAACTCCGCGAGAGGCTATGCGAGGTCGCTTTTGCTGCAGAGGTAGGCTATGCGGTGCCTACGCGTAATAGTTCCTCTACGCGAAGGCTACGCAAAGCCATCAAACCTGCAAGCGTAGGCTTCGCGGTGGCTACGCGGTACAACTACACCCCAAAGAACGCTACTCAGATGGCGGGTCTTTCCTGGATCACCCTGAATCCGTTCTGTAAGCCATGCTTCGATGCCTTTCACCACCTCTTGGGGTTTTCTCTTCACCATGCTGGCTTGCCTGCAGAATTGCAGAAGTGTGTCGGTGTAAAGAGATGTATCTGCGCAATGCTACGTCCATGCTGTAGATGGGTTGTCTACCACCTGAGAAGCGTAAAAAAGGGTCTCGCAGGCAGAATAACCCAACTTGTCAACTCCAGCTGAAGCAAACACTGTATGTGGCAAAGCTTGGTGACGCCCCCGTGGAAGTGTTTGAACGCGCTAGCCGCGAAAGCTCGCGGAAGTGAAAGGTTCACTTCTTGCAGATCTGACCTGTTCACTTCTTGAGCTGTCATTTGCATTTGTATGACCATTCGTCCAACATATGAGCACTCATTGGACACAACATGTCGCAGACACGTCGTGGAAGAGGTTTTGCAGAACAACTTGGCCGGCAGAAGCCAAAGCGCAGTCGGTGCAAGCTTCAGCGGAAGCAAATTATATGAGTAGACAAGATTGTAGACCAGTTTTTGCATTTTTACACCGCTCAACTCCCTTCCAGGTGTCCAGGCATGAAACAATGTCATGAGGCGGCTCAAGATTGATTCGACTTCAGGTCGCCATCGGAGCTCGCAGAACTGTAAGCTGAACTGCAAATCTTTTAAACTTTTAGTAGGCAAATCTACTGATTCTGCTTGATTGATTGATGTTGCCAACGCTGTCATGCGAGACACCCACAAAAGGCCGGAACCGATATGTGTCACCTAAAGTCTAAAGTCTAGAGCCTTCGAACCGATTCGAACCAACTTGGACAGGCTTTAGCAACTCATTGCTAGGGGGAAGTAAGTCCAGGTCCAAGCCAGCTTGAAAGCACCTGCACAAACTTGAGACCTGGAGACCTTCTTCTCAACCACCATGCGTTTGGAGCGAAGGAGGTTCTTCAGAGATTTCGGACGACAGGGAATCCGCTTTGCCCGAAAAGACCGGAGATTCCAAACGTGGCAGACGCACGTGACTTCCCATGCCATGCGCCAAGTTGAGGTGCTCACTGAAGGTATGCCCAAGTTGGTTAGACCAACTTGAAGTTCGGATTGCTAGCTTGATGATTCACCAAAGAACTACTGAATGATCCCTGCCTCTGACCCAGTGAAGACTGCAGCTAGGCGCATAGTTGTTCAGTAAAAGTGGCTTGGAACTACTCACTTTGTGAGTGCAATTTGGCATGCAGCTCAGGCTTATGCCAATCTGATGTTTGGTTGATGAGTTGATACAGTGCCTACTCTAGGTTCATGAAACGCAGAGACCTGGTGGTGGTCTTGCGTGAAATGCGTGAAATAGCCATTTTGCAAACCTCTGCTCTGCAGCCTTGAGCGCGTTCCGTGCCCTTGCATCAAGGAAGAGTAACTTGTCAGACCTTGTTTTCGTTGTACGTCAAGATCTGGATACCAAAAAATATACCAAGACCACGGTGGTAAGATTACCAGGTAGACCATGTGGTTTTGCCAGTGGACACGCAAAACACTTTTTGTGACATAAGTTACGGCCAAGACTCATCGCCAGACTCAGGCTGATTTCCCTCAAGACGGCTGCTGTTGCAACTCCTGGCTGTCTAAACCTCCCCAGTGGGCTCAGTGTATGCGGCAACTTTTGCTCTTGGCTGTCAATCCGATGTACTCCTTGAAACAGCCAGGTTGATCATTTCAAATCCATTTGTGAATACTTGACTAGGCTCACGGAGCGCGGCAGCATGTGTAGGAGAACAACCATACATACATGAAGCAGAGGACATGGGTCGAATTTGATGTGGAGTTGAGTCGATTTCTTTGTAGTTGTCACTGTCTATCATGCTTGCATCTGAAACAGCCACCTGATCTGGGCACTCCTGGCCTTTGGCCGGGATGGCGGCCTGCAGATGTGCTTGTGCGCTCTGCAGCACATTTCGTAGGGTGTCTGCCGGATGGTGCATGAATGCCTCGGCCCATGTCCCGATTCAGCTGGCCTTAGACATTGCCATCGTGAATGCCTTGGATGACAACCGTTCATGACAGACCTTGAAGCCACTCCAACTCCCTTCGTGCGATGTGTTGGAAGAGTGAGGAGGTCCTTCAGCAAAAGCCTCCGGTGAGTTTGAAGGTAACCACTCGAGCCTAACTTTGTCAATCTTCCCATCTGCCTTTTCCAGGGGTCAATCAAAAGAACAACACAGCTTGCAGTGGAGATTTCACTTGATTCTGTTCTGACTTCGATATTACCACATGCAATCTAGATGCAGTGGCTTCATCCTCAAAATGTTCAAGCAGTCACTTGAAGATTCCAAAATGTCTAGCAATCTGTCCCGAGCAGGATTGCATCATTTCTCAGGTTCGAAGGCTTCAGAAACTGCAGCCCGAGCTAAAGCTTGAGCAGGAGACTTGGAGGTGAAGCCACAACAAGCCCAAAAGCGCCAGCTGGCTGCTACATCTTCGATTCTTGATTCTCTTGCCCAACATTTCCACGAACAAGCCTTTGGGTTCAAACCAAGGTGCACATCATCCACTGCTAACAGGATTCAGCCACCCCCGACCGAGGGTCCGATGTTTGTCGGGAGCAGAGAATCAATCAGCAGCGCAAGTTCAGTCTTCCCACAAGGCCAAGAAGTTTGAGGGGCAACGCCTTGCAGGTGAAGCCTCAATGCTTTGCAGGAGCAAACAGTTCAATAGAATCAACCAAACTACTAGATTACTAGATTGACTCTGATAGATTCTGGAAGTATTCACAAATGACTGAGCTCCCATTGCAATTCCGCCATTTTCCAGGTTACAGTGACAACAGGTGTTTCGCAGCTTTCCTAGGAAGCCGTTTTCCGAGGCGCACATGGGATCCGTGAGGATCTGCCATCGAGTCGCACAGCGAAGCCCCCACGTGTTCCATGACGACTGTCATGGGCAGTCTCAACTCCAGTTCCCTCGTGCTCGCTGTCTTCCCTAAGCCTCTTTTAACCGTCAGCATTCATTGAATTGCCCGGGGATGATTTTCAGCATGTGACATACCCAGATGATTTTCAGCCAGCTTGTCCAAAAGGGACGACCGCGAACAGCACGGATGATGGATGAATGAAAGTTTGGCATCCCATGAAGAGTGCTGCTGGCAGTTCGGTGTCTCCAGTGTGAAGGACTACGTCCACTGAGATTGACTCCAGGTACTGAAGCCGCCTGCCACACGTTCTGCCACGTCGGTGCCGGAATGCACAGTCGGTACCTGGGCGTTGAGGTGCTTGGCTGGATCGAATCGCTCGGAAGGGGCGGGTTTCCGGTAGGTCAAGCAAGGCATCCTGGTTTTGATCCACAACCATATGTCCACCTGGAGAACGGAGACACCGGGATTTTGGGCACTGCGGTGGCTTGCCGTGGGGGGCCGGGACTGCTTGAAGAAGGGCACGGTGGAACGGCAGCGTGGAGGCATGGAGACATCCTGCTTCGTAACATCTTTTCCAACCTGCTAGCGATGGCCTCCAACCTAAGAGCGATGCAACCTAAGGGCACGGTAGAGGCATGGCTGGGCACCTCCACATGGTCAGCCACAGGGCTTTGTACATTGTCCAGCTAGGTTCTACACGGAGCAGTGCTGGGAGATTTTCATGCCTTTGGACAAGTGCAGACTTGGTGCAAGACGGAAGTGATGTTTCATTTAGCTCCTCAGACTTTGGCTTTGCCAAGCTTGTGTCCATCCTAGCCTTCTTTGCTTCAGTTGAGACTCGCGTAAGTGTAGGACTCATCCCCGAAATCCCTGACCCAAACCGATCTCACACGTCGTCCGCTCTCGGCGCGGGAATGGCCGGCCCTCCTAAGAGCAAGCATGTTCTGTAGGCGATGTGGACAAATAATACTGTAGACGCTTGCGCAACGTTGGCGTTGTGTGTGGACAGGGAGATTTGAACCTTTTCTGTCTGGGAGGCTCCTATGAATATTCTGAGACAAACCAATGAATCTGGAACATCAGTCACAAGGCCAGTGTTTGTAAACCCTGCTTGGAGTTGAAGTGGGAAGCCGGTTGATGACGACCGTAAAACTTTCAGAAAAATGTTGCGCCTTGGAAGACAAGTGGAAGGCCAGGGGTGAGCCCAGCGGCTGCAGTGATGGAAGTGCTTGGGCTTTTTCGCCTCTTGAGCTGCAGTATCAGTGGGGCAGGTAGACAAAGGCTGCAGACTCTGCAGACTTATGCTTTGTGGCCACGGCTGGTCTGCGAGCGCCGCACCGTGAAACCAAAGAGTTCGCAGCGGCCTCAGTTTTTGTTGTAGCGGTTCTTCTTCAGACTGCGTGAGTGCAAGTTTGGCTCACCTTCGAGTGGAAGTTAGCTGTTCTTGTTCAGACCTCGTGTATCCTTCATGTGCTCTGATACCAGTGTTTTAGGATGTTTTAGGTCCTCCTGGACTCAGCTTCCAACACTGGCGACCTTGAGATGAGGAAGAGCTGTAACTCGTGGCGCGAGTTGGCCCGGTGTGCCGAGCGAACTCATTTGGACAAGTTTGCACCTTTCAGTTCAGAGGTGCAACAGAGACACAGAGTTCACGTCGCACACACTCTAGATGCTGAAGTTATGCTTCCCCACTTCAGATTTGAGCAGTCACTTGCAGGTGTGAAGCATTGAAAGCAAGACAAAACTGTTTTGTGACCGCCGCAAAGCGTGGCTGTCTTTTCGACTGGGCATTCCATGTCTGGAGGTGAAGCCGCAACAAGCCATGCCAGGAACAAGCCTTTGGGTCCAAACTAAGATGCGCATCATCCACTGCTAGCAGGATTCGGCCACCCCCGACCAAGGGTCAGGTGTTGTCAGCCGTAGGGGTGTGGCAGTTTCGGTGCGTCTAGCTGCACCTGTGGGAGCCGAGAATCAATCAGCAGCGCAAGTTCAGGGTCAATGTCTTGCAGGTGATGCATTGAAGAGATAGCTCATGCCAGGCGGCGAGCTTTCCGAACTGGAAGATTCAGAAGGGCAGCTCCCAGTGCGCGTGGTGTGAAAGTTGATGGTGAACTTCTCTTATTGGACGACCAAGTGGTGGAGTGATCCAAGGATTAGATGTGTACTGATGTGTATGGGTCTGTCTCAGCGACAAAGTTTCTGTTTTCCTTCCTTTCTCAGAGGATACCCCTCATTTGACACAGAAGCCTTTTTGAGCCGTCGGTTTCTTGGTTTGTCAAGTTGGGCTGTGACCAAGTTGCAGAACCGGCGGCATTAGGCTTCCACATAGCCTGAAGAGGCGATAGACTGATGATAAACCGATGTTTCCATGCTTTGCCAGGTTGAGCTTGTCTCACGCATGTCGCAAGCAGTTCCAATGCTCTTCTCTTACAGTATCGCGATGTAGAGTGACTTGTTCAGAAGATTCTTATTGTTTGTCCTTTGTTGGTAAGGGTGCTTGTGCATCAATTTCTCGGTGTACTGCCAAGGATGCAGGCCGGGAAGGAACCCCTGATGAATTTGCCCAGCTTTTGTTTCCACACTATGCTTGCAGCCAGAAAGCAGAGCCTTAAAGGGTTGGTAGCGGTGGACCGCAGCAACTTCTGACAGTTCCTTGGAATGGTTTTGCACTTTGCAAAGAAATGCTGCGGAAGTAGTGGCTTCCTTGCGACAGTTCGATTGCCTGACAGCTTGGCTGCCACTCCTGGGAAGAAGACCACCTTTGCTTCCTCTTCCATGCTCTTCATGTTTTTCTCCGGGTGCAGCTGCACTTGAAGGCTCATGGCACCCAGCGCAACCCAGCGTAGAAATATGGTGCGATCTGTATTGTTCATGTGACACTTATCTCTTAACCTTACCTGCTGAACTCCTGGCCAGCGAAGCTCGGTTCCATCCCTGTTCCCCAGCCGAAGGCGTCAAACACGCAGAAACATCCTTGGACAAGCCAAAAGTTGAAAGTTTTGGATTGATGCGCCCAACTTTGCAGTTGGGCATATTTTGCCGTGTTATTCTTCCATGCTGATCTCGTCTCACACATGTCGCAAGCAGTTCCAATAGTCTTCTCTTACAGTATCGCGATGTAGAGTGACTTGTTCAGAAGATTCTTATTGTTTGTCCTTTGTTGGTAAGGGTGCTTGTGCATCAATTTCTCGGTGTACTGCCAAGGATGCGGGCCAGGAAGGAACCCTTGATGAATTTGCCCAGCTTTTGTTTCCACACCATGCTTGCAGCCAGAAAGCAGAGCCTTCAAAGGTTGGTAGCGGGAGGCCGCAGCATTTTCTGACAGTTCCTTGGAATGCCTTTGCGCTTTGAAAAGAAATGCTGCGGAAGTAGTGGCTGCCTGGCAACAGCTCGATTGTATTCGATTGCCTGACAGCTTGGCTGCCACTCCTGGGAAGAAGACCACCTTTGCTTCCTCTTCCATGCTCTTCATGTTTTTCTCCGGGTGCAGCTGCACTTGAAGGCTCATGGCACCCAGCGCAACCCAGCGTAGATATATGGTGCGATCTGTATTGTTCATGTGACACTTATCTCTTAACCTTACCTGCTGAACTCCTGGCCAGCGAAGCTCGGTTCCATCCCTGTTGCACAGACACAGCCAAAGGCGTTAAACAACCGCGTAGGCTTGGATAAAGCAGGAGTTGAACAGCTTTGGATTGACGCGCGCAACTTTTGCAGTTGAGCATATCTCCCCGTGTTATTCTTCCACATGTTGCAGGCAGTTGCCACAGGCTCTAGACAAATCCTTCGGACTCGTCTGGACGGCAACTGGGTTTTAAAGCAGCGCAGAGTTGGAAGAGGAACTTCCGCTGGCCTTCCAACAGAAAATGAAAGGGGGGTTCATCTGTGGGTCCATAGGGGTTTATCTCAAACTGATGTTGGCTCCCTTCAGATTCAGCATAAGGGAACAGCGGTCTAGTAAAGGACTGTGGTTGTAGATTGTAGGGGTGTACTGGCGTGGGATTGATCTAAGCGTCTATGTGAGACCCGTTTCTCCACTTCTACCAGTGGGTAAGGACTCTTTCCAAGTCAAAGCCTGGTGTTTCTCCACGACTTTGTGGCTCAAACGCAAAATTTTTGGCGAACCAACGCGTTTCAGCGCAGCGAACCAGCAGACGACGCTGTGTGCGACTTCGATCGATCGATCGATCGCTGTGTGATGGCTATCCGTGGGCAGCCGAAGCCTCAGTTGTGTGAAGAGGGAAGCAGTGCCCTTGGGGTTGAATTTCTTGGGCACTTTGATTAAGATAACCAGAAGAACTTGTGGAGAAGATTATATGGTAAAATTTGATGCACAAATAGAGCGCCTCCCTATGGGATTGCGCTGGGGTCTAGGTGAAAGACAAGACATGCCTTGTTCTTCCATGGGCGTATTTCATAATCATCGTGTTCCTTGTGTGTTCAATCCGGTTCATCTTTCTTCGTGACACCGTGAGTGTGTGACTAGGATTGGGTCTCTCCTGATCTCTAACCCGGCTTGCTGGTGATGCTTGACAAAAATAGTACAATGGTAATGGACCGTGCTGGGGGATAATGCAAGGGAGAGGCCTAGTGAGAGGTGATTCACACCGCTTCGCGGTCGAAGCCGCCCGCGCAGAGTAAAGGGAAAACAGACACACACGCACATACAGACATAGACATCCATCCATGCAGACAGACATACATGCATACATACTTCCAGACATACATGTCATTAGCACCCTGCGCTTGCACAGCCGGGAACTAGCAACGTTTCGCTATGGCCCTATCTAATCACCAGCCTTTTCACAGAGGGTTCTGTCTCGGTGCGTTTGTCTCGGTCTCGGCCTGTCTGTCTCGGTCGATCTGTCTGGGTCTGTCTGTTTCGGTCAGTCTGTCTCGGTCTGTCTGTTTCGGTCA